ACGCTAGGGGGGTCTAGCGTAATTAACCCGCAAATGGACAAACTTTGTCTACATGCCTACAGTTTTGCGTCGATGTATTTAACGAAAATGTACAAGATATTGTTACTTGTAAATAGTGAGTACAATGATGAATAAAACCTTCGTAAGGTTCTGATGTAGTGGTTGCGCGCGCATAACACTAAGTGCTTATTGATCACTGATGGCGACAATCGAAGACGATGTGCTATAAACCGATGAATAGGAGTACTTGCTGCCATGCTTATACAAAACGATGCGCTGTCACCAAGGTCTCGAAATCTCAGAAACGAATTCTGAAAACAATATGGCTTTATTTCTTAGCACTGAAAGGGGGAGTGCTATAGGACAAAATTTACCCCGGACATCTAGCTAGAGTCGAGAAGCCGGCCTTCACTTAATGAGTCCGATGATATTCTCAAGGTCTTATACATGTGAGATATATTTCCTTCTTCAGTTCACCTATTTTTTTACTATACGCCGAATTGCTTCCACATTTCAAGACCTCCTCTTTACATCGCTGTCTTTGGGTGGTAGTGTCATCCCTATCAATTTTCGCCGTAAAATCCAGTATTCGTTTAGTGTTTTCCCGCCCCGCTGTAAATCGTTACACGGGATTTCATGTTATCTTCATCGTAGACTGCGCCACCAGCGGGCAGAGTATTTACTGATTCTGTGTCATCCACAGCAGTGCCTTCCGTTTCCACAACAGTAAATAATACGGCATAGGGAAAATCCACGACCAGCAGTGGCGTGTCACCCAAATCCCAGCCCATGCCGTCGTACGTGCTTCAGCGCCATCTGTTGTATGTTCGCAGACCATTTTCATTGCCGTTCGAAACCATTGTAGCATCTACAACCACAGTGGAGTTCAGCAGCCGTCTGGGATGGCTAAGCAGCCCTAGGAAGGGTGCCCTAATCAAATGCCGCGAGGCCACGCCATCCGCTTGCATACCTTGGCTCGTAGATGCAAAACTCGCGGCAAAACAGCAACAATGAACAACCCTCGTCCTCCCCCCTCTATCCCACTTCATATGCTGTTAGGGTGAGTTCGCCCACCCTGACAGCCTGGAATGTTCGTCCCCTTCTAGACAATCTGAGGAGCAACCGACCGGAGCGGAGGACGCCGCTAGTCCCTCGGTGAACTGGCGTGCTACAGTGTGGACGTCACTGTCCTCAGCAAGACCCGTTTCCCCGAACAAGGCAAACTGCAGGATGTGAGCGCCGGCTGCACCAACTTCTGGAGCGGCCGCCCAAAGACAGAGCGACTTGACGCAGGCGTCGCCTTCGCCATCCGGAACGACCGTCCCGTCTGCCGCAGGGTGTTAACGACCGCCTGATGAGCCTGCCTCTGTCTCGTCGGGAGGTTAACTTCGTCACCATCATCAATGCCTACGTCCCCCTAATGACCAGCTCCGAAGAGAACAAGAACAAATCCCACGAGGAACTGTATGCCCCCCCCCCTGACGACTGTTTCAAACAGGGACAAGTTGACGGTCCTTGCTGACTTCGACGCCAGCGTCTGGACAGACCGCGTTGGCTGGAGGATAGTGTTGGTTCGGTGACTGCAACGCTAACGACCTCCTTGTGTTGTGAACCTGTGCAGAACACAGCCTCCGTTTGTCCACTATCTTCCGCATTCCGATGCGGAAGAAGGCGACCCGGATGCAGACCTGATCGCGACCCTGGAAGCTGCTAGACTATGTTCGCGTCCGGAAGCGAGATCGACAGGACGTGCTGATGGCCAAAGCTATCTGCGACGCCGACGGCTGAACAGATCACGGCCGCGTCAGCTGCAAGATGTGGCTATGACTACAATCTAGCAGGAGACCACAAAGTATGCGACAACCAGGTAAGTTAAAATATTGTTTTGTTGGACTTGTCCGCGCACCGCTTACATTTCAGCAATCAGTTATCCCATCGCCTGGTAGAACTGCTGGCTACGTACGAAAACGCCACCGTGAAGACTGGGTGGTATCCACTCAAATGCCTTGTGCGTCCGCGGACACTGCCAACATCGGGACTACCTGGACAACAACGGCACAGACATCAAAACCCTGCTCACCGAAAAGCACAGGCTGCAAATAACCTAGAAAGTGGCCTACTTCTGACATCATCGCCCCCTACAGCAGCAACTATGGACGACGTAGAAAGTCCTTAGTCCTTCAGGGCTAAAGATATTCGGGGTATGCCGAGTGCATGGAAACAAAGAACTTCACATCAATTAAGACGGTCTACTACGCTGATTCTCAGCCTCGACAGAACAAAGTTTCTAACGGAGAAATCGTAGATTATGAGGAGCTGAGCCGGGCACTCCAGAAAAGTCCTAGGCTAGATCGCAGTTGATAACCCGTCCAGTTACAATTCCCGACGTTGCCATAGACCGATTCCCTGAAGTGGAAACGAACGACAACCTGGACTCCCGCCTTCTCACAGAAACAACCAGAGCCATGAAACAACTCTCCAGCGGGAAACCATCGGGATTCTACACGATCCTGACAGAAATTTGCAAGCAAGGAGGCCCCCTGGCAAATGGATCACCTTACAGCGCTTTTCCGGGATTTTATGGATGTGCAATCGTCCATCTTTACAAACTCTGCGGTGACCACAGAGGCGCCTCGCTGCTCAACTTTCCTGGGAAGATTTCGGCTCACGCCCTTCTCAACCGTCTTAACGGCCATCTCGAACAGAGACTTTTATCGGAAAACAAGTCTGACTTTCGACGCCACCGCAAAACCACCGACATGATCTCCGCCGTACACCAACCGGAAGAGAGATGCCAAGAAATGCAGACCCACCTCTACACTACCGTCGTGAAGATGCCGAAAGCGTTCGACACTATAATTCGCAACGGACCGTGGAAATCATGCAGAAATTCGGCTGTCCTGAATGGTTCAAACACACGCATGGTACGTCAGCTCCGCGACGGGGTGATGACGCGCGTCATGGAAAATCGGACCGTCTCAGAACGAGTCTGAAAGGAGCACGACTGCATAGTCGTCCTCACCTCCTCCCCCCGGCCTAAACTTTCCTGACATGCCGATAAACGCCTACCGTGATGCGTGCCCCAGGATCCGCGTCGTCTAGGGATCGACGATCACCTTTTCAGTTGTCGGCGCCTACGGAAATCGAAGTGCCTCTCCACGACAACTGCCCACGACCTCCTCTTCGCGGAGGACTGCGCGCCCAACACCGCGACAGAAG